GTGACTCTATATTCACTCGCGCTCCACGGCGGCGTGGCGGTGCGTGGCGGTGCGTGGCGGCGGCGCGGTGCCGGGCGGCTGGGCGGTGCCGGGAGGGCGGTGCGGACGCGCCGAGCGACGGCGGCACACTCACAGCTGAGGGGTGGCTGGCGAGCCCACCGGCACCGGGTGGGGGGTTGGGAGGGGGACAAGGGGGAGGCGCGCCCGAGCACTAGGAGACAGACAGAGCTGCCGGGGTGGTAGGGGGCGGGGAGCGATGCTTTACGAGCAATTATTTTAAAATGCATTCCCCCGGGATTCCTGGCGGAAAAGTTCAAAGAAATTAAAAGGGCAGGTGATTTGGTTTTGGGAAAGAAAAGGGCCCTTTTAACCTCATGTTGTGACTAAATCTTAAGCACGAGCCTGTGTCTGTATGCCGGCCTGTTGGACGGAGTGCTGCGGTGGGGCGGGCATGCTGATGCTGCGCGGTCTGAATGGCACCAAATGGCCAAGGCGCTTTAGGGAAGTGTCCTCCTTAGCACCCTTACCAACCGCCTCTCTCTCTCTCTCTCTCTCTCTCTCTCTCTCTCTCTCTCTCTCACTCACTCAGCCACCGCCATTCAGCCAGCCCCAGCATTGTGCTGCGTTGCCTCGACGACGGCTCCCCCAGATTTACAAACGCCGGCGGTTTACTCGGCATTTCAGGACAAGTAAACGTGGCGGGGCCCTAACAGCAGCACACCATTCGACACGTCGTTACAGGACGACGGTACCCCCCGTCCAGCCCTTTACACAAAAAATAGGCGCGTCGGTGCCACTTTTGTCGTCGGCCGCTGAGAATCGTGACACGACACGGGGCGCCTCGCCCGTGAGCGCGATAACTCAAACTCTCCGTGCGCATATTTTTTTTTCTTTTATTTTTTCCGTTTCTTTCTGATGCGTACGGGCACCACTGCGCGCGCGGGAGCCCCGGCGGCGCAGCAGTGCGCGATGCGCGCCGGCAACTGGAGCGAGGCCCGTAATGTTTAACGCCGTGAGGTGTGATGGATACTGTAATGCCCCTATCCGTCTCTCTCTCTCTCTCTCTCTCTCTCTCTCTCTCTCTCTCTCTCTCTCTCTCTCTCTTCCTCCCGTCTCCCTCACACACACACACACACACACTTTTTTCCCTGTCATAACAGATAACGGAGCAGAGGAAACGTGCCATAAGGCTGGGCCGCTGGCCAGGGGGCGGCGTGGAATCCCTTTAAACACCTTTCGCAGGTTTACGAGCTGATATACCCATCCCACTGCCATCCCGCGAGGTTTAAAAAAATTATAACCGTGCCGGCGATCATTACAGCTTGCATCGTCAGTTTGTGTTTATTCTCCATAGAGGGGAGAGACAGGAATTCCTGTTAACAGTCGTTTTTTAAAATAAATTTTAAACCATGAATAACATATAAATAAACAAAAAACCACTTACTCTCCAACAACAACAACAACAACAACAACAACAACAACAACAACAACAACAACAATAACAAAAGTATCAACGAGTTTGTGAGGAAAGCTGCACTGTAAATTGCTAACGAACAATAGGTCCGTAATGCAAACCAAAACCTTCGTAACTCACGAAGGATTTAGCAGCTTCGTTTTACGAGCTAATTGTTCGAAAGCTTACGAACAATTCGTTTGTAATACCAACCGGTTGTTCGTAAGAACATTCCTAGCCTTACAAACAATCACTTTGCAATACCAACAATTTCTTTGTGCGAAGAACGAAAATTGTTCGTAACGTTGCAAAGCATTAAGTTCGTAAGCATTTTACAGTGTGTTAATAAATGGGAATGTTGAGAAACGCTACCGCAGCGCTTGCTGGTAGTTGGAACGCGTCGACTGAGAAAAAGGGTCTTATACGCGAAGGACTGATATGCAAATCCATTCGGACTGTGAGTCCTCTCTCCTCTCCTCCCGCCGCGGCGTGGAGCTCACGTACACCCCACTCCCCCAACCCCTCAGGCCGGCCGCAGCGGCTGGAGATCCCCAAGGGGCACGACG